GGCCCGCCGGGCAGAGAGCCGCCACAGCCAAGGAGGGCGGGGGCATGAGGTTGGGCGAGGGAGAGGGGAGGGGGGCCGGGCCGCCTCTCCTCTGAACACGAAGCCCAGCCGTCTCCTCTCCAGGCCAAGCCCAAACACTCAAGACTGCCCCGCTGACAGGCGGAGGACGCTCTGGCTGCACGGCCCTTCTGCCCAACATGCCCCCCGCAGTCCGAGGGGCAGGCACCACGTGCAGCTCCAGGCAGCGGCTTCCTCCCGGGGAGGAAACGGCACCGGGCAACCCCTGGGCGGACTGGCTTGGGCTGCTGGGCTGTTTCCCAGGAAGCCACAAGACGCCGCCTCAGACCTCCACACGTGCGTCTGCCGCTGCCCCTCGAGTCTGGCGTGCGGCAGCCCCCCCGCCCCCGAGCAGCAGCTACTCTGTCGGGATAGGCGTGTTGCAGTTGCCGTGGTAGATCCGGACGTGGCCGTCGCACCGGAAGTAGTGCTCAAAGATGTCGCTGTAGCCGTGGTCGCGCCACCAGGAGCAGAGCTGGCGGTTCCAGGTGCAGTCTAAAACGTGGAACAACTCAGGGTGCTCCATGCCCACGAGGGTGAAGAAGTCCTGGTCACCCAGGTGGCCCTTGAAGTGGAACTTGTTGGCCAGCTGCTGCACCACCGCTGGCTCCAGCAGACGGTTGTAAAGCTCCGACTGGCGCATGGCCTCCAGGTTCAGCAACAACACCCCACTGTTGAACCCGGGCAGCCCGTCAGGAGGCGGCTCCCCCACCTTGGTCCCGGGATGCTCCTGCCGATACTGCCAGAATATGTGCCTGCAGGGAAGGAGACCAGGGGAGGTCACTGACCCCCGGGCAGCAAATGAGAGCTACGGGCGAGGGGGAGCAGAAACCCCAGGGGCCTCCGGGGAAAAGCAGCTTCTGGGTTCACGCTCTCGGGTGCAACAGACCGAGGAAGCGACTTGCTGCCTCTTCTCCAGCGGCCTCCTTGCGAAGCCACACCCTTGTTTCTCCCCTTCCACCCAACATCTCACCCCAGGTGTGCAGGAAAACCTCATGCAGCAGCTTGCCAGGGGACAAACACCCTCTGGTTGCAGATGGCATCATGCCCACAGTGAGGGCAAACCCAGCCTGGAGGAGCTCCAGAAAAGAGGGGGACAGGAGGCCCATGGGAGCCTTTGGGTCCTCTTCACAGTAACACCACTGCATGATAAGTCTTCTCTTGGGTTTAAGCAGCAGCAGCAGCAGCACCACCCCTGTGCCCCTCAGCAATGGGCACAGAATGGCACAGACACTGTTGCCATGAGGACCAGGAGCCTGAGATGGCCTTCTTTCCGAGGAACAAGACGCCTTCTCTGGCTGGCCCCTCCTCCCTCCCGCTCAGCCCCAGCTGTGCCTTGGAGGTGGCGCAACAGGCCACCTGAGCACGCGATGAATTATGACGTGCACGAAGATGCCGCTATGAGAAACGGGGCTGGTGAAGGCTTTCGGCTCAGGGTCGCAACGGGACCTGGGAAGGCGTGTGACCGAGGGCCCAGGGCTGCCACCCTGGCTGGGTTTCACCCAGGCAGCTGCCCTGTCCACTCTCTGAGTGCCACTGCAGCCGGAGAACCTCCCGGTCCGGCCACCCATCCTCCCTTCCATTGCACAGCCCTGAAGCCAGGCAGTGGGGTAGGAACTTCGCCCGGCCTTGCTGGCAGGACTGCCTAGCAGCCTCAGGTTGTCTGGGCAGGGGAGCCATCCGGTGATCCTGCGCCTCCTCCAATGCCCGAGTAGGCCCTCCCACAGCCCAACACGTGGCTGCCACATACACCACTTGCCTGCCGCACGTGACAGCATGGTCCCTCCTGCCCAGCGGGCTTTGTCCAGACCTAACATCTGAGGAGCTCACTCAGTCCCAAGGCTGGCCCGGCCCGGCCCAGTGCCCTCTTCTCTCTGGGTGGCCCGACAGGAAAGGGCCAAGGCAGTGGCACAGGGTCAGACATTACTACATACCGATAAACCGGCTGCATTTCTCGGGCAATGCCAATCACAGCTCCCTCTGGGAAATTGTCAAATTCCTGAAACAGTTCCCGGATATTGGCCCGGTATTCCACATCCAGGTCCACTTGCACGATCCGCAAAATCTCTGGAAGGGCAGAGCAGAGAAGAGTCGGCAAGACGGGGGGCCTCTGCTGCATTCGGCAGTCCCAGTGGTGCCCCCCAGAAGACTGGGCCAGGAAGGGAGGGGGTCCGAACGGGTGGCAGCTCAGCCCCCAGCCGGGCCAGGGATCCTGGGAGTGGCGATGCAGAAACATCTGGAGGGTGTGCACAGGGTTGGCTTTCTGGGGAAGGGGCTAGCCTTTTCTCTCTCCGCAGGCTCCGCAGAGGGACAAGACCCGAAGGCCCGTCCTGCCTGAGCCAAACCCCGCGGCAGCAGGTTCGTTTTCTCCAGCCGCAGAACCCCAGAAGAGCCTGAGCTGAGGCTGAGGCTGCCCACGGGCTCTGGAGAAAGAGGAAATGCTACGGATCTGGACCTTCACCAATCCTAAACGTCCAACACACCACAAGCGGGGCGGAAGGGGGCAAGGTAGGCTCCGCAGCCCTTCACCCAACCGCCCCCTTGGAGGGAGGACCAAGAAGCAGAAAGTGTGGCGTTAGGCTGGGCAAGTAAGCTATTTCCCTCCCCAGTATGCTTCCCCAGGGAGAACGGTCCACTCTGCCGCCAAACGCCTAAGGCAGAAGAATGCTGATTCAGATCCACGAGGATGGTAAAAGCACCGGGAAGTAAGGATACCCAGTACGGCCTAGAGAAGAGGAGCACTCGAGCAGACGCGTTCCGAGGCCCCTTTGCTCAACTCAGGAAGCCATGGCGTTCGTACCCCCATTCTGCCCTCATTCAAACACCCTCCAATCCACTCAACGCGATGCTGAATAAACAGCACGCTGCACTTTGTGGTATGTAAAGGAGGGTCCACGTAAAGGGGCACTGCATCCCCACCTGCTTCTGGCCTGCTTTTTTGCCTCCAGAACCACAACAGGCCAACCTGTGCTTCAGTGGATCGCCTGCTGGCCTCCTATCCTGGGCAGGAGGCTGATGCCCAGGATAAACCCGAGAGGAAGGGGGGGCAAAGGCTGCTACCCGCTCCTCTGCCCTGGCTGGCTGGAGGTGGCACTGCTCCTTACCCTGCCCCTGGCTTAGCCTCCGCTCCCCGGCTAGTTCTGAAGTCTGCCTTGCCCTGGCATTCAGCCCATGTGGAAGCAGGCCTGGCGCTGCCTCGTTCGCCCCCGTTTTCCTTCTCAAGGATGGGGTGGAGAAAGCCCAGTCCTGGGGCCTTTTACCTGCTTTTCAATGCTTTACCAGCCCCTGTGCCATTCCCAGAAGAGCAATGCAGAGGCCCTTCGATGGCTAACACTGCCGGGTAATACTGCCTCCCTCCACAGGGGCTGACCACAGCGCAGGGACGGGCACATCCACCCTTCCCTGTGCCATCGGCTCTTGGTAGGGGCCTCCCAGGAAGCCCTCTAGGACTGCAATGGGGCCAGGGGGCTGACAGGTTAAGGAAGCCCCTCTCTGCTAAGGGGACACCAGCTTCTCCTTGCCACTCTGTGATGAAGCTCAGGTTTGGGGCACAGCAGCCCAACCAATGGCCTTCCTATGGCGCCCAGAGCCTTGCTGGTGCCCTCTGCCCCCACCTGGCCAACCCAGCATCCTGGGACAACTGTCTGCTGGCCCAGACCAGCCTTGATCCGAACACATGTCCTCCGCAACAGAGCACAAATGCGGCTCCCTGGCCCCATGCAGGAACCTTGCCAAGCAGCAGGTGATGGGCATGGGGCAGCAATCGCCCTGCAGGGAACAGCTCCTCTAGGGAGGAGGCAGAGGGAGGGGGTTGCCCGAAGGTCCAGCTGACCCTGCCTGCCAGCGTGAGAGAAGAGGGCGCGGGGTGCAACTGAATGTCCTTCCAGGGGGAATCAGAAGACATCAAAGCTGTTCTGGAGTGGGGGTCAGAATGCGGACTGGGAGTGGGGAGGCCGGTTCCAGCCTGGCTTAGGGAGCGCCTTCGCTGCGCCTCTGCTGGTGCTCCTTGCAGGTTCTTTGGGGAGATAAAGACTCAGCTGGGATGGGACATACATTTCTTGAACCTTATGCTTTACAATTCGTTAGGTGGTGCTCCTGGACTCCTCCTGATTTTTGGCTACCGTAGATTAACCCGGCTCTCCTTCTGTGATGCCTCTGAAAGAGACTTAAAAGGACGGGGCACAAAGGCAGCGACCCTCTGCGTGGGCCAAGGAATGCTGCAGGCAGACGATGGGCACCGATGCCCCCGCACTCACCTTTGGGCATGATGTGATGCATAGCAACAGAGAGGAAGAAAATGGAGTCAGCATAGTAGCTGCCAGCCCCAGCGCTGAAGAGCTTCTGCATTGCCTCCACGGTGGGCAAGAGCTTCTGGGCGAGTACTTCCACGTCATGGAAGAACACCTGCCGGAGGGGAACTGTCAGGGCGGGAGGCGGGTCTGCTGGCTGCTCCCCCCAACAGGGCAAGCGAAGGCAAGGCCCCCAAGGGACCGGGACTGGCCACAGGGGAACTTGGTTTCTGAGGTGCTGCCCAAAGTGGCTCCCATCGGTTCAAATACAAGCTGGGGCAGCACAGGAAGAAGCAACTAAAGAGGAAATCACCCTAAAATGACCCCCCAAATGTCCACCCTGTGCTTGGAGGGGAGCCTTGGCTGCCGCAGCTGATCTTCACAGGTGTGAATTGCAGAGGGTGGGCAGGCGGGCGGGCATGCTTGGTGAAGGCCTGGCGCCCCAGACAGCCCTCAACGTGCTCAGGATGCAGGCACTGCTCCCCAGGCGGCCCAGCCACTGGCCTGGCCTGGCCTGGCCTGGCCCGGCCCCCGGCCGCCCACGACAAAGCCAACCTGTGCGCCTGGCTAAGCCGCCACCTGGCCACAGCAGAA